GTCACGCAGACTTTTTTCATATTTTCTTTCTTTTAAGCAACCAGATTCCAGAAATGACCCAAACTAACTTTGGCAAACACTGGCTTCCTGTGCAGCTCTGATGTTTAACAGCTTTTAGTGCGATACACAATAATTGTGCTCATATCCTAAAGTCACACAAACAAACTTCAGCAGCTTTGTGTTCAGCAGTGTTAAATTACTGCTTTCTTTTTCATCAAAGTCTGACGACTTTAAGAGAGATGGAGGCTTCAGTTCCTCTTCAGAAAGAGCTGTGTGACAGCAGCGTACGCCCAGACAACACTTTAAATATATCCAGCAGTTGAAATCTTTTTTTCTTTTCTTTTTTTTTTTTTGGCCAAAGTATGTCTTGCACACCAGTGCACACCAGTATGTTTAGCATTAGTGTTAGCAGCATGCCAGCAGCGAGAGGGTAGGATCATAGGTGAATTTTTGCTCAGCTTCCTTTGGTTACCTGGTTTCTATATCTTGTAATGCTGGCAGCAAGCAATATTTTACATTTCTGTCAATGTAAGTGGCTACTTTATCAAACATTTGTCAATGAGTTGAATGACCTTGTCTGCTCCTGCTTTTCCTGGTTTTCTGCTATGTTTACATAAACTAATGAGCCGCACAAAGCTACAAAATGACATAAATATGACTAATTTTAAACCGAATCATGCAAAGCTGCTCTACAGTTGTTGACCTCTGTTTTCCACACACTCCCTCTTGTGGTCATGCATGTGATTGACAGATGATCGGTTAGTGTCAGAAAGTTAATTCACAGGAAAAAATGGAATAATCCCACACTGTGGAATATTTCAGTTCCAGCTTAGTTTTTCTTTATCTGCATTATTCCAACATGAACATATTTAGCTTTAAGGTTGTTATGAAGTTGTTACAACGTTTTTGTTTTTTCTTTACTGTAGTTTTTATAAAAATGTACCACTGAACAAAATAAGCATTGGTTTAAACAACTGAAACCCTCATTAGTCGCAGTCTTGATTCATCAATGTATTAAAAGCACTTTTATGATAAGCTGATGTTTGTGTGTTTTCAGGGCTCTGCAGCTGTGTTGCAGCGTCGCTCAGAGAATGAGGAGTTTGTGGAAGTTGGGAGATTAGGACCATCAGACTACTTTGGTAAGAACTAAAGTGTTACATAGGAGTCTTTTACATATATATGCATGTATGTAAGTATGTGTCATGCCATTAACTCAGTAGTTTTTTATTTTAAGTAACAAAAAAAAGATAGGGAGCATTAAAAATGGTGGAAAAACAGATCTTTGTGACTATGACCAATACTATTTCTGTATACATGTCTCTGTGTGTGACACTGAAGGATGTTTTCATGTATTTTGAATTTTAAGTCTGTGACACTTGTTTTTTTTTTTGTTTTTTTTTTCCCCCAGGTGAGATTGCTCTGCTGATGAACCGCCCCCGCGCCGCCACCGTGGTTGCCCGCGGCCCCCTGAAGTGCGTCAAGCTCGATCGGCCTCGCTTTGAGCGTGTCCTGGGTCCCTGCTCAGACATCCTCAAACGCAACATCCAACAGTACAACAGCTTTGTGTCGCTGTCTGTCTGAGGGAGCATTTCTCCTCACACTCACTTCTCCGCCCCCCGCCGCACCCTCTCCACCTCTTCTTCTCTCCTTTCAGACCCAGGGGTCCACCAGTGCTTTTCTTTTTTTGTTAGTTTTTTTTTTTTTTGCTTTCTGTCACCTTCTTCTGATTTCAGTTCCCCCATTCCCACTCTTAATTTCACACACAAATCATTTTATTGTTCCCACCGGTCACGCTGCTGTGACTGTTTTTGTTTTTTTTTTGTTGTTTTTTTTTAAGCCATTCACCAGCGCTTGTACCAGCTGCTGTACGCTACCTTGTAGGCACAGTTACACCACATGTAACTTATGTTATATATATATATTTGCTGATTAAGCTTCTTTTTTTTTTCGATACGAAGCGGGAGATCTGAAAGGTTCTCAGACTGATGAGACAGACAATCAGACTTTACATTGCGCTTTCAGTAAAATTATTTTTTTGTTGCAGACTGAAGTGAAGAAAAGTTTCCTTTGTTGTCGGGCTTTTTTTTTTTTTGGACATCAATTAGCTTGACTACACAGAGAGAGAGCAGAACCGAGAAACTGTAGAGGGCGTGAAGATCTAATGCTCGACTTTGGTTACCGTTTGATTGGTACGACGAGAAAACAATGTCTCTTTTAGTTCGAGAGAGCTTGTACAACAAATATTTTTTATTGTGCAGCTACCAGGCTAGTGCCAAATGTTGATTACTGTCATTCAATGCAAAGATGCATAGCCGTGGGAATGCAATGCGTGCTCTGTTCCAAACAGGAAGTAGTTATCACCCTGTAGTCATCTTAATCAATAGGACGACCATACAAGAACTGCCTTGACTACTCTGAGGAAAATAAATAAATAAATAAATAAAAAGAAAGGAAGACAAAAAAAAGAGTATTAAGTGTATTTCAGTATTCAGTTTCTTTAGTATATACCAAATAACTTGGTCACTCTTCTGCTATGGTTTGTAATCAAAATGTTATAGTATAGTTAAAATGATCCTAGTTATATTATTATCATTGACTAAATGATAAACTTATGGTTTGGAGTGATGGTGATTGTTTAAAAAAAATATGTTGAACTTTGTCTTTTTGTAAACACTTATTTTTCCATAAATTCTATTTTAGGTGTCCAGTGCCACAAAGTAAAAATAAATGCTTCTTCTTGTCAACTGATGAAACAGTATGTAATTGTATTGTGTAAAATGTCATGGGTAAAAACTTTTAAAAATAGATCAAAGGGATAATTAAAGGTTTATTGAAGCGGGGAGTACAAAGCGGTTTTAAAGGACTTTTCAGGACATCTGAAGTATTTCTGTTTCACAGCTCGGCACAGGCGAGTTGACAGGCAGAGCGAGCGGATATTTATTTAAAACTAGTGTCATTGCTTATTGCCTATTTGAAAAGGTGGCTGTCTTTTCATCAGAGTAGCTTGTGACCTGTTCTCTATGCTTACCTGGCATGATGTTTTAGGCATCCAGTGATCTGGTATGAATGGAAGTGTGTATTTAAAAAAAAAAAAGAAAGGAAAAAAAGTCCTGCAGACGCAGGAACCCTGTCGAATATTTGGTTTGTTACTCCTTAGCTGAACTGCTTCACAACTATTTAGATGCCATAATAAAATGAAATATTTCTTTTTAAAAAAAACAAACAAACGGACAAAAAAAAAACCTTTACCAAATCACATGATGTTGACTTCTGGATTCTACGCTTAACTCTACATTCCTGCATCACTGTCTGTTAGCAGAGATGACCTGTAATCATGTTTCTTTTGGTTCTCATTCAGAGCGTTTGTACTCGCTTACAGCTGAGATGTGTGTTTGGTTTTATGTGCCGATTGCAGGGTAGTCAGGTTGGTGAGAAGACCTCATGGATGTGAGTGTTATGTTTCTTCACGCTTAAATCTGATCATCATGCCCCTAACCCTCAGGTTAAACCTTGCGGATGTGGCTTACCTGTGGATTTGTGTCCACTGACAACACATCTGGGAAATGGCTCCGTTAGGGGTGAGGGTTTCACCTTTCTGTCAGAATATTGTTTTTGTGTAAATAGCTGCATCATTGGTTTGAGTCCAAAACGTTTTTAGCCACACTGCAGTCGTCCCAGTTTGCCTTAGCTTACCTAACCTGGGCTTACAGTAGAAGTCAGTCACTCCTGCTAGCCCGACCTTCAGTGAGTTTGTTAGGCCTGCAGCACAGAGAGCTGCAGATTATAAGAGGACCATTCTTTTTCTATTCTGTCCTGTATTTAGTTTGACCTCCTGTATGTGCAAAGATGTTTATCCTTTTGGTATAGATTGTTCCAGATGGCAGTTTAAGCAATAAAATAGTAAAAAAGAAACTCGGCTTTGTCTCAGACTTCTTCCTTTGCAGACTTTCAATACTGTGCAGGGTTCTTCTTTAGACATTGGCTGCTTGATCACTCATTTCCCGTCCAGTCCTCATACCTGACCATTTTCAGAAGAGTGGTTTTGTTTAAGCCACTTAACATGGACCTATGAAACTAAAAGGATTGGCCAGTGTCGTGTCTACACAACATAACATAACTTTCAAAATCTTGTAGATTCTGGGCATTTTGTTACGAGCAGCCTGTTTTTGTTTGTTTTTAATCTGTTCTCATTTCTTTAGTTCACTGAATGAAAAATGTCCAAGATAAAACACAGTTTGACGGGTGTACAATAGTATTTTTGCACCAACAAGCTGAGCTTTTACCCAGAAACGTGCTATATCTCAGCATGGTGTCAAATGTGTTTAAAACATTGAGGAAACTCGACAAATAGAGGACAGAAGAAGGCATTGCTGATTCAAAAGCTACCTACGGCAGATGAACAGTATCTGAACGTCACGTGTCCTAATAAGAAATAGGAAGAAAAATATGTATCTCATACTGTTCACTGAAGCCTCATCAGAAATGGTCTCAGTGGAAGTGTGGCTGTCAAGGTGTTCTTAAGAAAGAGAGAAAAAGCCGAGGCATCCCAAACTACACAAGTGCTGCACTAAAATCAGTGACAATAGCTCTGATGTGAGTGATGAATCCAACTTTAAAATCTTGGTTCAAATTATCTCAAAGGTGTTGGAAGTAGTCAGGAGAGAGGTACTACAGTGAGTGTCTACAGCCATCGCAGTGGAGGCTGTCATGGTTTGTGGCTGCATTATCAGCCAGTGGTGTGGGAGATCCTATCCAAACTGATGGAATTATGACCTTAGAAAAGTACTGTCAGATTTTGATCCACCATTCAATATCAGAATCTGATAGCCAGTGGTTTAATTTTTAAACATACGATGCTGGGAAAACGTACCAAACACACAGTGCAGCACTATCAGTCATGGACCGGCCTCCTTCAAGCATGGGTTGCAACATTTTTGAAGCAGTGTGGGATCATGTTGACACAGAGAACAGAACAAAAGCCAGTCAAAGAAGAGCTTTGAATGTCCTTTATTTCAAAAAATACCCAACCAGCAGTTCAACACCTCGAAATATCTAATAGTAAAGTTTAAGAAAAGCACCTGCCCGCCATGTCCCTGTATTTTCAAAAAGATGTAATATCAAATTTGCACACTAGGTGGAGGTATTGCACAGAAAAATAAACAACATTGATTTGCTCAACAAGAAAAAGCCTAAATTAAACAATTTAAACAACAGATACAATTCTTCATTCCTCATTTGAGAATTTTGTCCAGTTTATAATAAATTTGTTTTTTTCTCAAGCTTTTTAAAACTCTGTCTTTAGCAGATATTATTCAACTGAGCACATTTAAAGTTAGATTGTTGTATTTGGCACTATGACCCAACATTTATATTTCTCTAAACTTTAGCTACTGGTTATTTGCAAATCCTCTCTGTGCTTTCCTTTGGCAAATCTTTTATTTTAGACATTCATTCACTGAAAGCTTTTAGAGAAGGCGTATTGTAAAAATGCTTCGGTATGAAGGGATTTACCTGTGCTCAAGGGCCTGTTTTAAGTAAAGGATCCTTATCAGCCACTCTGTCTGCTTTGTCAAGCTCAAGTCTGACTCCACTTGGCTCTAAAGTCTCTTAAAAATAGTTGTGGTTATTTATCTTACTCTACATCACAGAGCAACGCAGACTATCAGGTTAGTTGGAGGAGAACAAAGGGAATGAACGGGTCAAAGCTCTGACATGTTCAGACGAAAACCTCACACAAGTCCGCGTGGGTGAGAGTTATTACCGTGGTGCAACGAAATGCATATTTGCTAATTGTTTTGGGTTTGCTGTTTCTGTATCCTTGCCTGGCGGAGCTGACGGTGACGTTGTGAAGCTGTTTAAACACTCTGATGAGACGGAGGATTACAAGTCTGGAAAACAGGGTGGAGTAAACTAAGTGGCTGTTTAATAGGTAGCACTTTTCTCACAAACATATGGCTGAGCGCGCACACACACAGTCTGCCGCTCTAAGGTGATAACTTCTCCTCAGAACTTGCAGAATCATCACATAAAGACTTTATTTTCTGATTATATGTCACGGACACGCAGAGCTCTCTTTCCACATCCACAGTGTAAACCAACAATCATTAAAAAAAAAAAGCTGATCCAGTGGTGGCTCTACATATCAGATGCTGTAAGTTTCCACTCACAAAGCTTCATTTTATTTCATTTAAAAAAAAACAAACAGGGTCTTTATTTAAAAATGTGAAGGTGTCAGAGATTCCTTCCTTCTGTGATGAAGACTCACGGCTTTTTCCTAAAAATTTATCGAGTCTTATTTATACGAGTCTCTTCCCGAGCAGCCAGAAGCCGAGCGCATCCTCTGTTACCTTTGCATCGTCCCGTCTGTGGCAGCCTCGGGAGTCACTGTGGATTTAAAAAAGTCCTCAGTGATCACTTCGTCTTTGCCCAGCCTCCGGACGCACCGGTGGACCACTCGGAGGACCTTGTGCAACCTGCGGTCCAGGGCCAACAGGTGGGGCTCTGTCAGGATGGGCCTTAAAGAGTCTTCCTGCAGGGACTCCCTCATCACATCACTGAGCCTGAACTCTGATTGGGCCAGGAGCTGCAGCCTTAGTAGTGTGGATTGCTTTATCCTGGGGGTAAGAGGACAGGGCAGAACACACGATCAACAGGAGAAGAGAAATTAGTTTCCTTAATTCCTTCACAGATTTTATTAATTTTTTTTTACTTATGCCCTTATGTACACAACTTCCATAGACTGAGTCATACTCACATGCAGCACTGGGACAGTGGAGACAGGATGGACATCTCATCTTTAGCGTGCTTCCCAAACCTGGTGCATAAACAACACACGTTAAACCCCGACAGCGAACAAAAGCAGCATCATTTAGTGCTCAGCAGCGGTTCTGTCTCACCCTCTGGCATTGTCCAAGTGAAGAAGGAAGCCTTCATCCCCAAACTTGGTAAAAATCTCATAGTGGTGTCTGTCCATGTTCCCTGTAACAAAGGCGTGACTTTAGCAAGGGGAACAAATCTCTACACGTGTAGCTAGATTTCCACAATATAAAATATCTGACGCTACATGAACAGTTTATAATGCAGAGGTAATGAAATACCTATGAGAAAGTCGAAGATGGACATGTCTATGATGTTTAGGAGCCTGTTTCCTGAGTTATAGGGGTACTGCTGCTTTATTGTGTCGCAGTAGAAAGGATTCACTTCCCACCTTTTGAAAGAAGCATAAACGAGAGGAAATTAAAAGGAGCCGATGGAGAATATTCTTTGGAAAATGAAGCAATAAAAATAAATTAGCCACAACTTTTTATTGCTCACTTTCAATGTGATGCTCCAGCAAAACAAAGGGGTTGATGTGTAACATTGTGTTACCTCCCTCATTTCTTAACACTCTGCAAGCATTCAGAACTGAGTAGACAGATGCTGTATTTTATTTTATTTACATCTTAACAGTTTAGTGTTTGCTTTGCCACATTTTTTAATTTCACAAGGCCCCAAATGTAATTAACTGGTAATAACTCTACAGACCTGTGGTAATTGCAGAATCTGGTTAGTCTTGCAAAAATAAGCAAAGTCTTCCCTTTAAAAGGCATCAACTGGATGTAGGATGCTCTAAAATGCATTATACAGTACAATGTTAATATGTTATTTCAATGATGTAACCAGATAACAGAGTCAGGAGGCCTCTAAACTGCATTACTTATTTTGTGTGACAAAGTCACTGAGGTTTTTTAATGATATAAAACAGGAAGTGGTTTTCATTTGACTTGTGCAATCTGACTTTGGAGGCCTTAAAAATAATGGATGCTATAGTAAATAAAAGAGTCTTTGAAATCTTGCACTCTGATTTATGGAAAATGACACTCATGTTTTAGTAGCAAGAAATGTCCATTAAATTAACTGCATATACACAGCAGAAATATTGTTGTCTTATTATTATTATATTTTCCTGAATTCCACCGCCACTACTTATTCCTGTTTAAAGTGAACAAAACTATAATATTCTATATCAGAATTAAAAACTTAAATGGTTAGTTTTATAAAGAATTGTGATCGGAGTCACAGAACAGTAACCACAGCAGCAAATAGTAGCAAAATACAGAAAATTATTATTGTTCCAGTTTTCAAAAACCAGCAGGATGTGATGGACACCACTTTCTTGGAATGACTTGAAGACATCTGTTCCTGCAGGATGGAGCCTTAATTTTGTCCTCAGTGAGCTTCCACAGATTCTCGACTGCATTAAGATAAAGACTCTGAGACAAGCGTCTCATTATTTTAACGTTATCAGGTTGAAGGGAGCGGTTTTAGCTGCTTTGCAGTGTGACAGAGTACATCATCGTCCATAAAAATTGCTGACTGATTGGAATCTAGGCAGGACAGGAAGAGTGTGTTGGTTAAGGAGCTTCTGATAAATGTGGAATTTATTGCTTCCTGTCTGGATAAACTAAATGAAACTGACTCTCATAACTAAAGTGATGTTTGGACCGGTTCTCTGTTGGCAAGATTTGGCCTAACCGAAGTTGATGACAGGCTTGGTCACTGGAAAACAGACTTTAAGTCTAAAATCTTGCAGGCAACAGTGGACTGTGTGCCAAGAATGAACTTGAATGCACTGTTTACCAGTGAATTTACAAGCATTCTGCATAATAACTGGTGTCAGTAAAGCTGAAATCATTTAAGAATTTGGCTCGTGCATCAACCAGCTTGTCTTGCAACTGCTGAAAAATTCATCCCTTCAGCCTCAAGCTGAACAACTGCCATCAACAACCGCCAGCTCACCATTTTGCAGAATGCTTGCTGGCAGTTAAACAGTTTTGTGCTGCATTAAAAAAAACGAGGTCTTACTCCTCCCGTCCGGTGAAGGTGTAGGAACGGATCCACGGGCTGGGGATGGAGATGCGGGGAGCAATGCTGAGTCCCGGCAGGTAGGCGGACAGGGAGCCCTCCAGCAGGTCGGGGCTCCCGCACGCTGCATATTCTGTCTTGCACACATACAGGCACTTGGCAAAGAAACAAGTGTTGTTTGCTGTTTGGGAAGCAGAACAAAAACGGAAGAATGCAAAATGAGTTTTTCTGTTCACTTCCGATTACATGCTTTCCAATCAGCTCTGCCTTTCCCTCTAGCTGGATGCCATATCAACAGCAAGGAAAAACACAAACAAACATCAAACTGAGTAAAAAATAACTCGCGGATCATCTTAGCTTCACGCAGACATGCTTGTTTGCAAAGATATGCAAAGGGCAGAGATAAACAAGCTCCCAATCAGATGCACAGCTACTGAGAAACACTATTCATGTGTCAATCAAGTATTTGAACTATTGTAAAGGAGTTTATATTTAACATACAGGCATAACCGTTGAGTCTAATCTAAAGGTATTACTTTGAGGAACTGATGTGGTTTTTTTTTTTACCCGGGGAGGTGAAGAACACAGCTCGTAGGTCTTCATTCTGGGTTACTTTTAGGACTTCACTAGTGATGTTCACCAGCCTGCCAACCACTGGAGGAACTCTCCGGAAGTCTAGGATCCTAGAAAATATATTGATGTGATTCAGAGGAAAACCTTTTACTCGTGTAGGGAGACAGCTCGTGCTGGCATAAATATTAATGCAGTGTAAACCTTCCAAAGGTGATGGTAGTCTTATCTAACTTTAAATCCTCATCTCACAGGAGCCCACGCTCCACTTTCACTGATTTTACTGATTCTTATCAGTGAATGAGTCCGCTTGACAGCCGCCGTGCTGTGTAATCCAGCTGGCTGCGTTCATATAAACTATCGAGAGCTTGTACTCCCCAGAGGCAGAGTTTTAGTCATGTCTCGCAAATAGTAATCAAACAACAATCAGCGTGTCATGCCGAATTGCTGTTTCTAAAATGGTTGGCATTCCCCAGCCCCTGATTGCGAGTGATAATGATGAGGGCTTCTGGCAAGTGAGACACAACGAAGAGAGAGAGGCAACACACTGCCACAGATTACACACATAGCAAATTAAAATTTAAAAAAAGAAAACAGGAACAGGAGTTGTACAACATTCTCACTTTTTAAAGAATAACTGATAAAGTATGAGCAGATAAGGAGAAAAGGCACTGTTTGAGAGTAATTACAGTAATTGTTCGAGCTGTTGACGTGGTGCTGGAGTTGTTTTCTGTCTGTGACTTAACACTGTGTGTGTGTGAGTCTGTTAATGATACCGTCTAGTTCAGATGAGTGAATCACCTCGCCTCAGCTAATGTGTAATTGCATAAAGATAAGTGTGTCCTCATCTGTGTCCAAACACTGTGGTTCGAACTGATCAGCAAGTTGGGAAATCTGAGGGTGTGCCAAAATGTTGCAATCTTTTTTGAGGCTCCATGATACATTCGTTCGCACAGGGGGACCTGTTTTTTTAGACTTAATTGTTGGAGACGGTTTGGGATTTTAAGGATGTTTTTGAATCTCGCTATTACAAGAATGCTGCCACATCGTCTCTGAGGATTCTTTAATTTCATCACTTTCTCTCTAAGACATAATGGATGGATCCATAAATCTAAAAATGGATTATTATTATAGGGTCTTGACCTTACAAAATCATAAAGGCCTTTAGATGACTGTTGTAGTGATTTGGCGCTATAGAAAAAAAATGAATTAAATTGGATTCATTTTTGGTCAATTTTAGGATTTTTGTTTTATACATTTTAGAAAGAGTTTCACAAAGTTTAGACCCGATCCTAACATCAGGATGTAAACTTCAGCATGGAAATGGAAAAATCTAAAATAAGAATTTTGTGAAAGGTCACTTGGGGCAAATTCTTTAATTTTCATCTGCATGTCTGCAATTTGGGTCTGCAAAACTGCCAGCCACAAATTGATACATGACACTTTGATGTTAACACCGGCAGTTGTAGTTGCTAGACACATCTGCCAAGTGCTTCTTAGCTTATTCAAGTAACTAAAATGTACCTCTCGATCATGTTTGCAGTACCTTTTGGAGCATTTTTAATGCAAGTATTTATTAATTAGCACTAATTAGCAAACATTTGTGTATGTGGATGCAGCTTGCTAGCCTAGCTAGCTAGCATTTGGGATAACTAAGAATTTTGTCACCTCCCTCAAATGCGATTTTTTTCTGGCTTCATAATAACAAAATTGAGCCTTTAGAATAGAAGTTAAAAATGTGATGTCATGCATCCATCTTTTATATACAGTCTATCGTTGAGTGTCCAAATACTGTCATCTAACCATGCGGATTTTAAGCTTGTTTGTTTACTATATTCACATTCTTAGTGTAACCAATCACAAACCAAGGTGGAGCTTACCCCAGCTGTCTTAAGGTAAGAGGTGGGGTACATCCTGGCCAGTCTGTCACCGGGCAAACACAGACACTCACATTTACACCTATGGGCAATTTAGAACCACAAATTAACCTAACCCCACTAATAGCATGTTCTTTGGACTGTGGGAGGAAGCTGAAGTACCCACACAGACATGGTGAGAATGTGGAAAGTCCACACAAAAAAGGCCATGGCCAGATGGTGGATTAAAACCCAGGAACTTCTTGGTGTGGGGCAACAGTGCAAATCATCGCACCACCATGCTGCCTGCTGTGATGACATCAGTCACTGAAGTTATTTAGAGGCACAGAGGTGGCAGAGCCTAGCTGGCATACAGCTAGAGGCAGGGTACACCACAGACAGATAGCCAGTCTATTGCAGTGTATTGGCACTGCAATAGACTGGCTATCTGTCCACAGCTGTCACTCACATTCATACCTTCTGGCTATTTAGACTCACTAATTAAAATGAATCAAAGTGATAAATAAGCTTTTTTTCCTCCCATTTGGTCGCATTCGTCCTCCCTCCAAAAACAGTCATAGTACCTTTATATATACAAGGACGTAACTGAGATCAATAAAATAACATGTGTGCAATCAACACTAAAATTACCCCCAGCAAGCCAAGCAGTCATATAACCACAGTGAGAGGACACTAAAATTACCCAGTCTAACAGCAATGACCGAGAAGACGTGAAATCAGTGAGGGATAATGAGGCTGCACCTGTCCAGATGAAAAGCAGCAATCTCTGCATTGTGTCTCTGGAGGTCAACGAAATAGAAGACGTCTTCTGGAGTCTCCTCGTCCCTCTGCTGCCTGACACACACACACAGACACACACACGTGCACGCACACAGAGCGATCAAACTGTCAGTTCCAACACTCTGCAATATATAATCAAGACATTACAGGTGGCCAACTCGAGGCTTTTGACTGACATAAATTCACACAGAACATGACATAGACTGTGTACTGTAATAGCATGCTATGTTACCTAACTCAGCATTTCATGTTTTTGTGTGATTTCATTGATTTCACCAACTGAAAATAACCAACTAGATTTCCTCACCTCATTGGTTTAAACATGGCTTTAGCTAGGTTGCGCATTTTCAGGGCCAGTTTCAGGTGATGTCCGCTGGGCTTCACCACTGTGGGAAGACACACAGAAACATGATGTGTGGTGCGAGATCGAGACGTTTTTTTGTACCACAACATTTGCCCTACATGACTTCCACTCCACACTTATCTCAATGTTTTTGGCCAGGGAAAAGCAAACAGTGAGCAGCATGCAAACTGACTCATTATTTTAAGATTTTAGATTTGCAAAATGTGAATCATTGTCTGGCCTCGCCCGAGTAATAAGGTAATTGGATGCACCCTGCGCTTTCTCTGACTGGCTCCATATTGTGTCACAGCAGTAGTCCAGATCAGCACATACAAGCAACCCCCTCCCCACAGTGCTCAGTGAAACTCCAGGTTCTTAATAGTTAACAATCAAGCAAGGTTTATAATATAAAACCATTTCTGGAAATGACTCAACGCGAATCCAGCTGGCACAAACAGCTTCTGTGGCCGATGAATTACGTCGCTCTTTGGTGAGTGAAATAATGAGAAGGTTAAATTTAAACTGTGGGGGGTAGCGATTGTTTTGTTGCTTGTTTCTTCTTGGCAGTGAGTGATGTTTGTGTGGCCATGCACTTCACTGCGCAGGGATGCTGACAAAGCACAGACGAGACAGGTCAGACAAGTCAGCGTGGAAGAAGAAGAAACGTAGCTGGGAGAAAAATGTAACATATAAAACCAATAATGAGCTATTTGTCCTCCTTAATGTTTACATTTCTACCTGCAACGCTTTTACAGCACTTACTTAGTGAACAGCTCAGTAGCATCTATTGTTTGGCACGTCACTAACTTTCAATTATCCATCCGTAGCTTTGGTTTGCGTGCTGCTCAGAAGTAAAGTAGGAGATGGCAGCGTAGGTGGTAAGAAACGCTGGCTTCCCTCGGCGCGTGCAGACATCAAACGCTTAATTAGGAGCTCTGCCTTTGAACGCAGACTAATTCCTGGGTTTTATTTGCCCCCAGAGCAAAGTGTCTTATACAGAAAGACAAATCTGGATTTTGGTGCCAATAGAAAAACCAAAAATCCTCACTATCACAAAGGCAACAGTGTGTTTGTCTTTCATGGTACTGCCAAGCAGAAAAGGCAGAGTGAGAGAGAGGCAGACAAACAAAAAGAGAAACAAAGAGGCTAGTGAGAAATCAGACTCATGCGGTTGCACAACATGAGATATGAGGTAAAGAAAATAAAAGCCCAAATCCCCGAATGGATAAAAGGCTCATTGCAGGTGGCAATGACGTTGTCATACCTTGGGTGCAATCACACGCTCCTTTTAGGGCTTTCTCATCTTGAGTGTAATCTGTAAGACAATGAACTTGTTAGGTAATAAATTAGCACACTTATTGCAGGGAATGTACCTGTCTAATTCCAGAAAAGTAATGGGTGCTAGATTTGCCATCTGCATAAAACGCTAGCTGAACAGTCCTTACTGTAAAAAACATTAGAGTCCTGTGCTGTAAAGGAGCTTTACAATACAATACAATCAGCTGTTTGGTTGCTCTTGTACTGATATTATATTATATCTTTCCTACATCTTTCCTATATTAACAGAAGCGTTTTTCATTGCATATTTATTCAATTATACTGCACTACATGTAAAATTCCACCCAGTTCACAAAATTAGACCCCATGAGGGATATGACAGTACAGCATAAACACAGGAAGCCGATACTCTTTCCCTGACATCATCGAGCTAGACGCTTCAAATCCCATCTGACCTTCACCTGCACTGATAACTGTCATGCTCTGCATGTCCTTGATAAGTTGAAGGACAGTAGGGTCATCACGGGAGTACAGAGCATAGCGGTTTATTCCCAGGTGGAACTTCAGCCAGCTGGTATCAGGGTCGTAGGTCACCTCATGATTAGTCACAGTGATGTTAGCCAGAGCCGCTGCCAGACTGTAGAGCTTCATATGTCTGAGGAAGACGAATAACACATAGGACAGATGTTAGCTGTGGGATACAGGATGCTGTCAACTCCCTATTATCAGAGCCCTAAATAAATGGTTAACATATGTAAACACATCAATTTTCTGTAAAGCCATTGTTAATCCTATGTTATTTAAAACAACAGAGTAGCTGATTTAAAGAGATGCTTACACTGAACCTAAGATGACATGCTTAAGAACTGCTGGTAGGGACTGACAGGCAGGCATCTGAGTGTTATTAATATGTATTAACTAGAATATTCACCATATAAAGCATGCTATTTATTTTTGCTTTACCCTGCCTGTAGATGCTGCTTCCTCTGCATGCCACTTTGCAACCCAATCTTCTTTTGAAAAGAGTTGTCCTGACTGTATTAAATAATTATGGTTAGTATTTCATTTTGCATGGGCCACAGATTTGGAGCTGCATGCTTTGGTGCCAGACTTTCCTGGCATAAAGTCACATTCAACAGGTTTTTTGGAGCTTGTCATACATTAAAGCAAAGGAAAGAAAAACATGTTGTGTTATAAAGTACTTGTTCTATTTACCACTTTACTCCTGCCTCCATTAGTCATTTATAGTCAGCCAAGTTTTATTAGTCTCTTATATACAGGCTTTTTACTGTTTCTAAATTGAGTTTTAACAAATCTAAACTGCCCAGCCCCCTTTCCCCTCCAAGTAGGAATAAGAATAAACTGATACCAAAAGAAATACTGTCTGTGGTAAGAGGGGCACCACATGACAAGGGCTGACCACAGTGAGTGGGATTGCCATTTCTCCACCCAAACAAACTCCATCACAGACCGGATAACAAAATGAGATAATGGAGCAGAGCGCTAAGAATAGAAGTTTGTTTTTCTGTCATTCCTACCACCTCATTCATTTAATTTGACGTGACACAGAGTAATCAGGCCGCTGGACAAGTGCAGACAGCAGAGCGTGTATCCAAACACACACTGTGGGAAACAGATAAGTCACGAATGCACACAACGAATGCAGTAGATGCGATGTTTAGACGCTGTTGCAATATTTTGCAATAACAAGCCTGTGAGCTGCCTTTTTTTTAGTGCACATTTGTAATGCAGCACAGCGGGGAGATCCATTGGTCATAATTCTTCTTATTTTCCACTGTGAGAGCCCAATATCTATATCTCTCTGAGGGAGACAGACAGACAGCCTCACAAGCCAAGACGGCTACAACTCCCAAAGATTGAGATGGGCCCCGGCAGTTTTAAAAATCCTTGTTTACCTTAAAGAAACCGTTCCAGATGCTGGCTCTCAGAAGTGACGTGTTTGTCAGGGTTTTCTGACCCAGCCCACATGACACTGGAGTTTTTATGACGCACAGAATTGTCTACAGATCCGGATGTCTGTCTGTGGGTGTATGCCTGTCACCACGAACAAAGTGCATCCAAGTTCATGGATATGTGTTTGTGTGTGTGCCTCGGGTGGGTTTGGCCCCAGTGTCACTGACCCTGCCTCCTGACCACAGTCAAGCCTCAACACGTGCTACCACAGTGGGAACTCTGAGCCAAAACGAACACGCAATTTAACAATAAAGTGAAGTAACTCCATCAAGTCACGCATTGCAAAATCAGTGGCATTATTGTCACAACAAACATTATCTTAATTTAGAATGATGAAACATGACACCAGAAACTGACCTTTCCCAGTGCGACACCTTCCTCCTATAGTAGTCAATCAGCTGTTCCACCTGCAGCAGTCTCTCTTCTGGCCCCAGAGCCGGAGTCTGGATGTTGTATAGAGGGTGAGAGAAAAGCCTCACCAGTTTTGAGCCTCCGTACGCAGGCTCAGACGTGGTGCCGTCCAGGAGTGGTGCAGAAGTCCAGTTGGAGAGCTGCGGCGTGGCCAGACCCCCCTGGCTGGGGGGGAGGGTGAGTTTGTTGGGGCCACATGAGCAGGAGTGTCCCGATGTCAGGCCCTTGCTCCGCATCTTTGGCAAGAGGATGAAGTAGAGGTCGGCGGAGAAGATGGCCGTGAGGGTCACAGCTAATAAGATGCGATCTCTTCTCATCATTGAAACAGAAGGAGGGGGGTATAGGGGGGGCAAAGAAAGCTGAGCAAAGTCCTGGCTATGTGCTGCTCGGGACTGTGTGAGGCATCACTTGTAGTCTCCCTCCAGTCTCGCACACACACACACACACACACACACACACACAGTCAGCCAGGCAGAGGCAAGCAGTCACAGGTTGGTCCAAGTCTCTCTCTCTCTCTCTTTCTGTTCTCTATCTGTGTTTCAGTCTGTTTCTTCCAGCCTCACTTTTCCTCCTCCTCCTCCTCTCTTGGCAGCTACTGAAGAAAGTGCCGAGCTGAGAGCGAGCATGTGCTAGCAGCAGTCAGTGACAGTCTGGCTGCTTCCAGGGACCTGCTGCTCAGAGGAAGAGCGAGAGAGAGCGTGTGCAAGTGTACATATAAGCAAGAGCGAGAGAGAGAGAGAGAGAGAGAGAGAGAGAGAGAGTAGAGCATGTGGGTGTGCATGTGCAGGTATGTACACAAACATCAAATTACAGGTTAGCAGAGGGAGAGAGTGGCGAGTGCAGAGGGGGGTGCAGAAAACACAACTCTCACACACTCTTGGAGAGCAAAGTCCTCGGAACACAACAGATTTGAATAAAACCCCGTCCAGCTGGCGTGGCGGGTCTAAGGCAGTGCCAGCGCTTGTGTGCAGGTCCAGGTCCGGTTTTCATTATCGTGTGTTTAAGATGGCCGCCTTCCTGCGTGATTTCTGACAGGAAGATTTAAATCTGCATGTTTAAAATGCACAGGTGTAGAAATGAGTTAAGGTGGCGTGACTGTGTTATTTCCCCCAAGAGGGGTGTGGAGGAAAGTTTCCCTTCCTTATCTTATCTTCTTGTCTCCACCCTACTCCTCCTCATGAAGTCCACTTTCACTTCTTGTCAAAGCTCATTACGTCCTCTCATCTTCTCTTCATCGTCTGCGCTCCTTGCTCGTTTCTTTCTCTCTCCTTTTCTTCTTTATGTTGCCTCTATTTTTGCCTCCTTTTAAGCTACAGACCTCCAGTCTGTCTCGCTCCAGGCAAAAACTCCCAGCTGCGCTTTCCTTCCTGCTGTAGTTCCCACACACGACTCCTTCACCTCTCTTGCCCTGAACCACACTGATACAAACGTTCCTAAAAGGCAGCGCAGGATGGGAAAAAAGAAGTTGTTGCACAACTTGAAATGAGGAAATGAAAAGAAATCCAATACCTCACTGTGTTAGAACACTTTTCCTTATTCTTTGTCTTCCTGATTCCTGACTCACAAAGTCTGCTTGTCGCTCACGTCAACCGTAAAAGCCCTAGGCAGCTTTATAGTGAAGCAATGTAAACCTCACAGGGCTTTTCCCAGCCTGCATCGGCACTGTTGTGGTATTTTGGAACATCTGTCGTCTGCTTGGCTGTATGTGTTTGTGTGTGTGTGGAATTCTGGCAAAGTGATGTGTTGATGTCTGGGAGCAGCTCTCCAGGGTGTTTTACCCCCTCAGAAGAGAAAGCAGGGCGAGAGAAGCTGTTGCTGATGTTGGAAATCAGTGACAGGAAGCTTTAACCTGCCAATTAGCCAGACTGTAGATGAGCTTTGCCACTACAACCACAGTTTCCTTTTTTTTTGGTCTTTTTTACGAGTCAAAGAAAAGGGGATGCTGTTGTCTAAAAGCAGACACAATACTATGCAAAAGTTTTGTGCCACCATTTCTAGAACCACTCATTCCTTTATGTTTTGCAAGGAAAATGAGAAATAGGTGCAACACAAACTTGCATGGGAATACAATATCTAAGGGAAAAATATAGTTTGTACAATTCTAACATTGAAAGCCAAGATTTGGCATGACTACATTTATTCTTCAACACAGCCTGAAGTCTCTCAGGCAGGCGTTCTTGTATTTTATGTCATGTTTCTTTTCTTTTCTTCACTGGTGATGTGCTTGGCATCATTGTCATGCTGAAAAACGAAGCCATTGCCAGTCAAAGGTATTGCATGGTGGATCAAAATCTGATGGTACTTTTCCGATTCTATAATTCCATCAATTTTAACATCTCCACCACTGCCTGAGATAGAGCCCCAAACCACAACAGAGCCTCCGTCGTGTCTTAGAGATGGCTGCAGACACTCTGTTCTTGTTTAATTTGGCATCCCTCAGCCTTTTCTCCCCGTTTTCCTTCCTTAAAAATGGCTTCTTGACAGCCAGCCTTCCACTGAGACCATTTCTGCTGAGTCTTCAATGAACAGTAGATGGATCAGCTGAAGGACCAGATGCATCTCTCAGGGCCTGTGTCAGGCATTTGCTGGATTTGTTTTTCTATTTTTTAAGAACATGACTTTCAGATACTGTTAATCTGTAGTAGATGTATTATAGGCCAGAAGTATGCAGAATTACAAGGAACATGAACTTGCGCTGCCAGAACAGCCCTGACCCAGGAAAGCATGGACTCCATAAGACAAATGAATGTGTCTGGGTTTATTTGTATTTATACCACAGAAACTGCCCTGAAAACTCAACATTTGTGTTTTCTGCCACTACTTCTTTTGCCCTCCATTTCTCCAGTCTCCTCAATTTTTTTAAGAACACACTGCACACCATGCTTTAAATCATCTTGTTGGTGTAATAATATTGTTTTATACTGATCAAACTCTTTTTATCTTTGACAATTTTTACAGAGTCAGGAAAAAAAGTTTTTTTTATGTTACTCTGAAGATGGTCAGGTACTAGGACTCAACTGAAAATGACTGAAAAAGCAGTCAATGTCCAAATAAAACCTTCGAAAGACTTTCAGAACATTTGGAGAACTATTGCTAAAAGCAACACCCCCTAAACAAATGAGAGTGGCTCAAGACTTTTGCACAGTATTGTATTTTTACATTACGTATTTGCGTAAAGAGTACAAGGAGAGGTCACATTTTTCATAACTGAATAAATCATCTATTTAAGTTTCTCCTGGTTGTACTTAACTTTTAAGGCAACAGTCTTATTGGAAGCTTTCAAGGCAACAAAATGAAATTCAAGCCATATTTATGCTTTTATGCCAACGCATAAAAAAGACAGGAACGTTAAGTTGTAATGACTTAAAATCAAACCATCCGTGTTCATGAGCAGGCTGGAGATATTTCTGACAACACATTTGGTGGAGTTCACTCATGCACTGTTGACTTGAAGATGCTGGAGGGGGCAAAATGCTCTGCGGATGACTTGCCCTGTTTGTCCAAGCTGTGTCTGTTCGCATTTATCCCCGGGAAGCACACTAGGGAAGAAGCTCTGAGCATGCCTCCACCCCCGCTTGAACATCCATACCGGTACTTAAACTAACCCAGTTCTTCAATGACAGGAAAAGTGCGTGCAAAGATGTTTCAAAATCGAATGTATGAAGAAAACACATGAAAATAGGACATTGAGTCTTGTGTCACCAATTTCTGCAATTTAGCCAAACTGTGATGATAAGTACAGGGTGGCTTTTGTTGAGATAAAGCGATGCGATGGCTCTGATGTTTTCCTGTCTAGATGACTGTTTGGATGACCTAGAAGTATCATATCAGGAAGCTTCAAATTATCTGCAAAGAGCTGCAACAAGTCAGACAGCTAGACTTCATTTAAAACTACTTCAGCTCTCTGTCCTTCCATAGTTATATATCATTCTTTTTGCTATAGCTTAGCATAAAGTGGGGAATTACAGCGAAACAGCTCAGCTTTTTCCAAAGGTAACAAAATGCTAAGCATCCCACTATACTGTACAAAAGCGCATAATTTCTTCATATTTTGCTAGGAAAATGGGAAATAGATACAAACACAAATGGAAATAGAGTATAGTCATTTTCTGGGAGGACGACTATAAGTTGCACCCACTCAAAAAACAAAAACACGAATAGCACAGAGAACAATCCCACCCCAACCTCCATAAAGTTATTTCTCATTGTTACACATTGTGAGCTTTTAGAGGTGCTGATTAGGCAAATCTCAATACTGTTGCACAGAGCCAGGCAAGCCATTTACATAATTTACACTCTACTATGCTAGGCTAGCACACCACCATCACAGTGTTGATATTTCCCAATGTGTATTTTTTTCTTTTTGCATATAAAAGAAGTATATTATGAATAAATGGGCCAAACAACAGACATTAGTTTGCAAACATTAAAGTGGAATAAGATGAAAGCTGAAAGCGAGGGACAAAGGGCAAAAAAAGAATACAGCATATGAAATGCAGAAGAGACAGTGCAGTGACACTGAAAATCCTTCCAGCACAGTGAGTTCATCGCATATTCAAAAGGACATATTCAATTTGCTGTTTCAAAATAACTTCATAAAAGGAACACAAAGGAACAATGTTCACGTTTGAATCTCTTTCTACATCTGACTCACTTTTTTCTTTCAGACGCTGCACGCTGAGCTTTGAGCTGCCAGTCAAATTTTGATAAAACACACAGCCGATTGTGGGCAAATCTTCAATAAAGCCTCCTGGAGAAGGAATGAGTGAAAGAAAAGAAGAAAAAAATCAAAACCAGACTTTTCAATATCAGAAAACACAAATATAAGACTTCACAGATCGATATTGGGAAGACATTTTTCAGCATTTTTAATTCAGATCACAAATAAAGACGTTAGATTAATCAGTGCAGGGCTCCTTCTTCTTGACCTCTCAACGGTCAGTCCACATGAACTGAACTGGCAGCTACAGGAAAAACATCCTCCATGTCTAGGCCACAAATGCACAATGTGGTAGTTTTATGAAAGGGACAGGGCTGGCAGAAGAAGAAGAGGGCGAGAGAGGATGAAGAAGATCAACAGAGGGAGAAAAGCAAGAAAATCAGAAAAGACAAATTTCTCACCAGATGCATCCTAAACAGAGTAGCAGAACTCATTTCTTGCTTCTGTTTCCGTCCCATTTTACTTTCCCATCAATCAAGCTCTTTTGGAAAACTTTAGACTGACTTCGGTTAAAAAGGAGGTGAAACCGAGCTGTCGCATTCCTGCAAAATTGATCGAGTCTTTTATAGCTGCATGTGCTGACCAGTGCTGACCAGTATATCTGTGTTGTCCAGAACCCTAGACTACAAAGCTACAGTAGCTGTGATCTATAATATACCCCATTTTATTGTCTGTTTTGCTCTACATGGAACCATAATTTACACATCGTGTTCAATGCAACTTGAAACTAGCAAATGAAAGCACAACATAATTAGAGAAACATGAACAGTGGGTGCATTTTTTCATAAACTTCAAGACAATTAGAAAGAAGAGGAGTCGCCCCCTGCTGGACAACGAATGCACGTTTATGCCACTTCCACTTTGGCCTTACTTTTCAGATCTGGAAGCCTTGTCTGTTCACCTGCTGTAATATAAATTAATACAAATATCTAGTCATCACATGGCAGCAACTTTTTGCATTTAAGCATGTAGACATGGTCAAGACAACATACTGAAATTCAAACCGAGCATCAGATTGGAGAGGAAAGGTGATTTAAGTGAATATAAACGTGGCATGGTTGTGTGTGCCAGACAGGCTGCTCTGAGTGTTTCAGAAACTACTGATCTACTGGGAGTTTCCAACACAACCATCTCTCAGGTTTACAGAGGATGCTTCAAGAAAGAGAAAATATCCATTTAGCGACACTTGATGTCCTGTTGATGCAGGATCAGAGGACAATAGCCAGACTTCTTCAAGCTGATAGGATGGCAACAGTAACTCAAAAAAACACTTGTTACAACCAAGGTAAGAAGAGCGTCCCTGAATACACGACATAATGAGCTACAGCAGCAGAAGACTACACCAAATATCATTGATGTTACCACAGAAGAGGAAGCTGAGACTCTGATGAGTCTTGATTTCTGCTGTGACATTCAGATGGTGGGATCAGAATTTGTCATAAACAACATGCAAGCATAAGCATTTCATCCTGCCTCGTATCAATATTTTCCTGGCAAATTTTTGGTCCCTCTTGGTCCAATATCCTCCATATTGTTGCTGAACATGGTCATCTCTTTATGATCACAGAGTAGCCATCTTCTCCAGGCTGTTTCCAGCAGGATAACATGTCATGTCAGTTCACATCATCTCAAACTGGTTTCTTGAATGTGATAGTCAGTTCACTGTACTTAAATGGCTTCCACACTTACCAGATCCAGTCCAACAGAGCACCTTTAGGATGTGGTGGAACAGGAGTTTTACATCAAAGATATTTAGCTAAGAAATCTGCAGCACCTTCATGATGCTGTCGTGTTGATATGGACAAAAATCTCAGAGGAATGTTTCCAGCACCCTGTTGAATTACAGCAGTTCTGAAGGCAAAACGGGTCCAACCCAGTACTAGCAAGGTGTATTTAATAAAATGCCCTATGAGTGTATATTCTCATTTTCCAAAAAGCAAGCTACACGTGACATGGGCGAGGGTGGTGGTCATGTTGCCATGACAACAAGAAGCAACAGCCAGGTGTGATTAGTGATTAGTGAATGGTCAAATAATTGTAAAACATAGGAACCCAGGGTTTGAACATATTTTATATCTGTATTTTGAACATCGTCCCATTTAAAAACAAAAACAAATGCAGTACTATGAATGTTTTCCAGGTGAGAGTGTTTAAAAATTTCCAGCATTTAAACTATATCACGTATTCTTTCTTGTTTATGACTGCTGCCTTTCACCACACCATGAGGTTTGGCTGCTTTGAAGAACTACAGACTTTGACATGGTTGGACAGGGCATCATTTGTCCTCATTCTAGTCTAGTATACCAAACTATTTTTACCATAAAGACTGGAAAAAAACAAACAAACCCTCAAACAAAACACCAGCAGTTTTCTAGTAATTCCCCAACCAAGGTACAGATCACCAAGCTGATGTGTTAACTAGTGAGCATTATTGGTTCATTGAGCACATTTTGTTACCTTTGGAGAGAGCTTCCAAATTCACACAGCTTTTATGAAAAGGTCAGCTATTTGGTTGCTGTAGCTTAATATTTTTAGAATAGCAATGGACAATATTAATCTTCTCATGGAACATTTGGCAACAATGAATTTCCAAAAATGTGGAACTATTCTTGTAAGTTCGATTTGCAGAATTTTTGGCATTTGTCTGGGACAGAGTGGATAGAAAAAGGATGAAAAAGATGAGTTATTTCTTACTGCAGACACAAGACACCAACAGAACATAAAAGAAGGTATTCATGAAGCTAGCAGGAGCAGAAGAGAGGGGATAAGATCAAGTAATCAGCACAAATCTCACCAGCAGGACCACCTGAGTCTGAAGAGACAAGAAACAGCCAATCAGCAGCGATTGCTGTGGTCGATGTCCTCAAAGAGTCCTCTCCTCTCGTAACACAAAGCTACTGTCTGGCAGAGGTCCTCACATGAATACTGAGACACGCATAGACAGGTACAGATGGAGGATGAAAAACTGTGTTTGCATGAGGGAGGGGTAGCTAAACAATAGAGCTAAATATGACAAATGCACTCAGCAGCAGCTGATGTTGTCCTCCCAGGTTACCATAGGTTGCTGAGGTTGCTCGTGGTCATTCACTCCTGCTTGGGTGGATGAAGCTGAAAGAGGATGGATGACAAAAGACAAAGAAAAGTGGGTAAAAGCATTCATGTGTATGTCTGCCTGGGTGTGTGTGCAGAAAAAGCACAGCTAATCGCTTATTTTGGCAAGTCCTGAGCAATGGCAGACTGTGAGAGGAAAGTGTAGGAAACGTCTCGCAGATACACACCCTCACACACCAACCTTGAGTATTTGTGGGTTTTTTTAAAGAAAAAACATTCTGGCCTGTGTGTCTAAAGGAGAACATTGCCCAAATGTTCCAGAGCCGAGCTCCAAACTTTGCAGGAGGAGAATGTGAAGAATGCTCTGACTCTTCTCTTCATAATGTGCAGAAATTGGACATGATAGAATCTGAGTATCAGGTTAGATTAGCTTAGAAGGTCATCCTGACCTGCACTGTTTAACCCCTTTTTATGAACATTGTCAGCAGCAGCTGTGCAAACTCACATATGTGTGCAGAAGGTTATCTGATGAAATGGCTAATTACTGGAAGGGGTAGCCAAATGTTACTGGAAACGGCCTTGATTGTGTGTGTGTGTGTGTTTACCTTCAGAACACCATTCTTCCTGTGAAGTCTGATCACGGCTAGTAGGGTCAGGTACTTGATTTTGGACGTCACTGCCTTCCATATTTTCATCTTCAGTCCTCCTCTCTTCTCTCAGATTGTTCCGTGTATTCCTGAGAGTGTCAGAGCAAAACAATACCAGTGTTTACTTGAGATATGGGTTTTCCAATTTCATGCACGTCAAGCTCCTGATAGACAAGACATGGGTCAGTGATCCTATTGGATGAAGATTTGTCACAGAGGCCGATATCTGTGAGGATGTTTGTTGTTAGATTTGATTCAAACCAGAGCTGTTACTGCTCTCGATCTCTGTGGTGAAGCATTTGAGTACTCTGTGTGCTCCTTCTGTGTGTGTGTGTGTCTGTGTGTGCGTTTGTGCGTGCGCTGCTTTAGTGGATGAGTTAAAACTGACATAATGACTTCAACATATGCAAGATTTCAACTTCACAACTTTACAAGCTAATAAGTGCCGGCAGAGCATTTTTATTGTGATAAGCAGTTGACATTAGTGGTAAAATGAGGCTAAAGATACTTTAAAAGTTAATTTGTACCATCTGTGACGCAGTTACATACATGAAAAACTGCTATATTGTGAAGTTACGATGTTTACACTTGCTGTGTCAGATATAAAAGATGAATTCTCAAAGTTACAATAACTGAGTGACAATTTAGGGAGCCAGTGTTTGATTTATGGCTGCACAGTAAAAATGCCCTAAAGAGTTGTTTTGAATTCGGTTGTTCAAAGGATGGTGCCTTATGTCAGTAGTTGTCACTTCTGTACATGTTTATAATCATTGCTGAGGTGGGAACTACATTTTAAAAATCCAACTCTATTAATTAGGGCTATAAAGGTTTAGTCAGCTAGGATGACTCGAATGGAAGAAAACTGTTTCCTAGGTCTCAGTCTGTGCAGCTATATGCATAGTATGACCTGCACTGTGGTTGAATGAGGTATGGTGTGTTACATTACTTCCTCGTTGAGCTTGCTGGGCTGGAATAATGGAAAAATCCTGGTCATACTGCTGGGTTAAAACCTGGTAAGCAAACATGTAAGCTGCTTTGTGAACCTGCCCTTACAACCAGAGTATGCTAAAGGACACGTGCGTGTTGTCTAGTGCTCTGTGGGTTGCTGATTAAACCACCCACAGAATTTGAAGCCAAAGTGGCAGCAGCAGAGAGTGGTGAAGTGCCATCCATATAAAGAGTATAACTGACAAGAAGCTGCTTGAATGAGTGCTAAAACTCAGAACTGAGTTATTATTTCCCACTTCAAGTTCTGTTGTATCAAAGTTAATGGGATTTTATTATTATTATTATTAATATTATTATTATTATTATTATTAATTTCTCTGTCTGAAATAAGGTCTGTCTTTAATAAAAATGTAGGAGATTTTCCAATTTTGTTCTATAATATAAAATCTATAAAAACAAAACAAACACAATTTTAAATCTTTTACACTTCCCAAACCTGTAGTTTGCTAAAAAAGAAAAGGAAAAAAAAAAGAAGTGGCTAAATGAGGCTATGGATGTTATTAGGCCTATTAAACATCATCGCAGTCATTGACTATACATAAAAGATGGCCACATGGTAAGTTATTACTTAATGTTATAGTAGCAAGCTGCTACATAAATTTCACAATGCACATACGCAAATAATTATTAGTAATTCCTGCTATGATGAGCATTTCCTCTGTCACCGTGTTGGTTTTCTACATGTGATTAGAAAGGGCAGGTGTAACTGTGGAACTCCACGCTCATTGGCCCTGGTATATGTGTCTGTGCATGCTTTGTAAACACAGTAACATTTTCTCGCTTGTCAGTCACAACGATTGACAGGCAAGAAGCTAATACTGTGTTTACAAAGCAAGTTTTTTTGGTTTTGTTTTGTTTTTTTATTCAATGTGACCCAAAATTTGTGACTGAACCTTTCTAGAAAATTGTCCAAAATAGTCCATTTTCCCATTGATTCTGTTTTTTGCAACCACATCTAATAGTTGGTCTTCAGACAGACCTGGAAGTTACATCCAGGTTTAATATTGTCGGTGGTCACTACTTATCACTAAAAGTGGCCTCACTCCTAACCCCCCACCCCCACCCCTTGGATCTTATGAAGGTGGAAAAAAAGGCTGTGAGCTTGTTTGTTTCTACTATTGGAGCAACTGCAAGTTTTACTGCATCCAAGATTTTTTATCTCCAGATGTGCTTATTTATAGCCTAATATTGGTGATAATTCATAAAGATGATCTTGTTGTAAATGTCACAAACTTCACATAAAGCTTATTCTAAATTTAAAAACCTACAAAAAAGTCTCCTTTTTTATATGAAACAATGACTAATGAAAAAAACCACCATCCCTGCAGCACTCTATTTACACTTTGGCTCTGTCACTCTCTTCCTCACACAGACATTAAATGTACACTCTCCATAAGTTAAACAATACTGTTGTCATGATTTTGCTCCTCGTGAGGTTTATGCAGACATTTATTTATATTTCTAAGCATGTGCTGACTCTGTCTTTAACTTTAACTGTGCTTTTTCCATCCCCTGAAATTAAATTATTCCTGACAGCTCTCTCCTTCATGGTCCATGTTACCCAGCATGTGACAGAAATACAGAGAGCAAAGATGTGAGCCAAGCCAGAGTTTACGACCTTTAACCAAAATGAAGTTTTTATTAAAGACTCAAATGTTTGTGGAACAGTGAGGGAAGTTTATTTTGGAGAACATGTTCAATCATGACGTACATTTCTTACATTTCATGCTTATATTAGATTTGGTACAAACCCTGCACTGTTGATATTATCACTTATTGGACTTGTCTTCTGTTTGATACTGGCAGCTTTAATTTGCCACTCTTCTAGTTGTTGATACTCTTGAATGATCTAATCTCAAAAGACTGCCATGTTTGCAAGCCTCATCTTGAAACTTGGCATGTATAATAAAAATTGTGCTTCAAATTATTATGTGTGCAATCACTTTTAGCATTTATTGCCTCTAATGAACAAGGAGTGACGTTTTGGCTCAATTTTATTTTCTCTCTACTGACCTCTTACCCTGTGTGTATTAAACACATTTCTGTCAAGACCACTAGTCACAATAAAAATGTTATTTCCATCTACAGCTGTTTATATCTGGATGTACGGCCCTCTGCTGGGACCTTCCACCATACCATGCACAAGCATGGAAAGATGCAGAAATGAGCAGGGGCATGGGAATGCACGGTAGACCTGACATTGATTAAGTTGGATACAGCATGAACAGCATGAAATGGAAGAGGTGGGTTGCAAAGCAGATTGCAGAGGAAGCAAGCCAAAATAACTCAAATAGCAGATCCAGAACCATCATCCAAAAATGCTCTCTGTAATTCTTTATGTTTTTTTTTTAATAATTAATGAAGACACAAGCCAGTTTACCTACCTATGATAAGTTCCTGGGTCAGTGATATTCCACGTCACCTCTTGCCCAAAAACCCCCACATGATTGCCGTCCTCTGTCCATAGTCCAGCAGAACCATCAACTGATGCTGTCAGGACAAACAGTCTGTCAAACACTTCAAGGACTTCCACACATATCAAAGCCCTTTTGTGAGCCCTCCAAGATTGCAGCAGTGGAGGTTGTTCACAAGTTGCCTGTATGAAGAAAAATATGTCAAGTATATGGGGATATGAGGTGCAGTGCACCCGGTGCAATCTTATTCCCAGCACACCTCAGGTTGGATGTCCACTGCAACGGAAGAAATGTCCCAAATCTGAAGTGAGCCCGTTGTGTCACCTGAGACCAGAATGGTGTTTTTAGACTGATCTGAGTTCAGGCTAAGCACACGCTCACCTGGCTGCTCTGGAGCGTAGAAATGACCTGGAGGGAAAAAACACAGAAAAAATAGACTTGTGCTCGTAAACTCATCCAAGCATAAAGTAGTAAGTACAATCTAAAAGAAATTTGCTTGTAACAATAGACTTGGATATATCTTTATAGGCAGTTAAAAAGTCTGCTGGTTCACTCAAAAGTGCATGCAAGCAATTCTATTTATATTCTGCTTTTGTACCATTTTCAAGAATTCTTTCTTCACTTCAATAACAAAAGTGCTTCTGAGACAAACTGCAAACCCTTCAACAGATTTTAGTTGTCACCTGCATTCCTCTTATGTCATGATTTCAAATCCCCCTCTCTGCTGGAAGCATGCACAGACACATAGATACATATATAAATCTATACAGACATACAGTTCACTCAAATGCACTCATGCAAGCCTGTACCCATATGCAGTGGTTACAGTGCATGAATCCCACACCACTAAACACAGATGGGATCTGGAAAGAGACATAGTTGTGGGCTGCCAGGAATGGTACCGGCTGGCAGCCAAGTCGACAGTTCAGCCTAACTGTCACTGCTTGCAAGGGCTGTTTGTAAATCCTTCTTATGGGAGGAGGAGAATTAGAAGTGACGGATGATTAAGAGTTTTTATCTTAGATTAATGTTTTCTACTGCAGCATCTTTTTTTTTTTAAAGGACCTCACATCAATCTCTTCTTTAAGCTTTTTCTTGTGCATCCCACTCACCATAACTGTGATTGTCATCAGTGATGCTCCAAAAGCACAGCCAACCACCCTGGGATGACACTAGGACACCCTTGTTTCTTAATTGTTTCCTGCCAGCTCGATGCTGAAGGAACAAGATGCTATCCACGGGGAGAGCTGACCTGGACGCACGCAAGCAGAAAGAAAACCACAATCATGAATATGTCACTATCAGCTAAGGATGCAAGATACTTGACTTCATTTATTCATCATTTAATTAACTGTCAGGAAAATTTATGAGAAATTAGTTTGATTATGTCTTCGTTACTTTAATTACTTATTCTTTTATACCTTTATCATTCATGCATGATGATAAAAGGAATACCTTTTTGAGTTCTGACATTTTACATCTATTTGATATTTCAATAATAATCTGCATGTTATTTAAACATTTGTTAATCTAAGCTTTTATTGTGTGTTATCGTCAATAAAGACTGCAGAGAGCCAAAGATAAATAATTTTTTACCACGCCAGCAACAAAATTTGATCTGGGATACAAGAAACACGATGTAAATTAGTAGATAAATCATTAGTAAACTGATCCATGCTGATTTGTTTCGTGTCAAAACCTGCAAGTCATACACATCAAGTTTAATAGTAAACCCTCACTGACTGCAAGACAGCACTCGGAGCTGCATCTCCTTACCGTGCCTGCGTCCCTCTCTGCAGGTGGAGCATCGGTCCTTGTGTCTCCATGCTCCAGATCACTACCTCTCCATCATAACTGGCTGTAGCAACAACGCTCAGAGCGGAGCACTGACACACAGCCAAGATGTCTGATTTGTGGACACCGCTGGACTTCCAGGACGTGTCTGCTCTCACCTTCAAGTCCTTCAGTGCACGAGTAAAAGAAAAATAAAGCACAGCTTAGTGCACAAGCATTTTGGTTGAAATGATGATAACTATATACCTATATACGTTTATAAATGAGGTGAAATAACCTGTCTCTTCTGTAGAAGCTCTACTTACTTCCCCAGGTTGCTCATAAAAAAGTGTACCATGTTGCAGTAGACTTTTTTAAACAAATTATGGCTGTGTGAAGAATTTGAACTTACCAGGGGCGTATATATAACGTATGCATATATATAAGTGCAATTTACTGATTTGTGATTGCCCCTCTAGGTTTTGGAAATGAAAAAAATATATAACGAAACAGACAAGCTAAGTTCTGCTTAAGCGAGGGACTTTACAGTGAGAAATATTATGTAACTGGGCAGAGGAAAGGAAAAAAGCAGCATTAAGAATCTGCTGCAGAAGCATAAATACTCAGTGCTACTACTGTTCGCTTTAACAGATGACTCCAGCCACAGAGCAGATGGCAGCTGAAGGTTGAAAGGTAAAATGTAACACAAGAATTTGAAGCTTGAGAATAATGTGCAAATGCAGACTGTTATATATTTATACACTGAGACCTGTGCAGCAGCATGCATAGCTGTAGGTGGATGTGGGTTTGTATTTATGCGCTGAAAAGACTTTAGAGACTTTCTTCACTACTGACAGGAAAACACAAGACTTCTGAATTATTATACTGAATATGATGGGACAAGTTAGTGTTACTATTGGAGGAAATATTTTCTGAGCCTAATTTGGACCACAGTCTTCTTAAGGCCAAGTTGTTGTTGGCATTCTTAAGAAAAACACTTAAATGTTTTCTGAGTCTGTACTAGATTAGTCACTATGGTGACAGCTGTTTGTGTAGGACTCATCACGCTGCTTTTAACATCTGGGAAAGAACTTGTAGCAAGAAAAAAAAATATGTCAAGGCTAAAACTCTGTGAGACTAATTTTATAGCATCTTAATATATCTGAGCTTCTTGGGTGGACTGCATTACCCAGAATCACCTGTCAATCAAAAGTTTATGTAATGCATTTAATACTTTGTTATGTTGTTCTTTCTTGACCCACAGCTAATGAATTTTTTTCACTGCCTTTCCAATCTGAGAACCAGCAGCTACTGTCAGATGACTAAGAGTGTGGAGATGAAGGTCAGTGTTACAAATGCAGGTAAATTTAAAAAGCAAACATAAAAGTTAATCATTATCAAGTTACAGCAAAATAGTTCTGAGAACACATTTTAGCGTGTCTTTTGCTGCCTATGGAGGTTCTCAGTCATCCAGATCACAGTAGTTTTGAGAGCTTGAAAAGCCCTCACGTGCTTCAACTATTTTTCTTTTGTCCCTAGCTGGCGGTCGGCAGGGAAGGTCGTCCACCAAGCCAATACGTCGCTGTGGGTGCCGCAGTGTTCTCATCTTTGTCAGCGATGCACTTCCAAGACTTGCGATCTGGCCTTGACCTTTTCTTGCTTGAGGATTAGACGTCATTGTTGAAGATCGTCTTCAGTTTGCTTGATCCAAGTCTTCTTGGGAGCGTCATGCTTGATTCCCTAGTGTGTGGCCAAACCATTGTAGTCGTCGCTTCTGGATCAGCTCTTCCATCTAGGGCTGATGGTGACATTGACTACGCATTGTGCTGTTGCTGAGACGGTCACGGGGGGACACCCGGAGAATCTGATGCAAACAGCGCACGTGGAAGACCTCAAGCTTGTTGAGGTCGTGCTTGAGGATGACCCAGGTCTCGGATCCATAGAGAAGAATGGGCAATACTAGTGCGCGGTACAGTTGAATTTTGGTGATGAGGGTGACGTTTGTCTTACGTGCTTCATCTACCACACCTTACCTATGTTTCTATATATTCATACAAGCAGCATAAGATATAGGACATTCTGCCTTCTTCTTTCAAACTCTCAGTGCTTGTTGTTCTTTACAGGACTGTTTATCTGCACCTAACCAATGCCTGATCAAACCTGATTGGTCAATACTGCAAGCCACAACAGAAAAGTTCCAGTAGCTCACATTCTGCTGTTTGCCTACAAATTCAGCGTGTTCCTGTGACGATTAGACATTACTGCTTTTGGAAAACTTACAGTTATCCCTGTCAACACCACAGGCCAGCTGGTTTCTTGCTGTGTTGAATATACACGTTACATATAAGTTACGTTGAATATAATAATTTTAGGTGCATTTGTGAATGCTTGTCTCTCTTTGCCGTTTGCCTTGTGATTGATTGGTGACCTGTCCAAGGTGTACCTGGCCTCTCTCACCCTATGACACCTGAGATAGGCTCTTTGACCCTGAAACAGTAAAGAAAATGGATGGATGGATGGATGGATGGATGGGTGTTGACTGTATAAATGGCATCCATGGAGCTTTTTTTTAGATAAAAGACAGAGCCGAAAAGGATAGTAAAACCCAGAGTACCAAGTCAATCTTAATTTTAGGATATTTTAGGATGGAAAGATAAACTATAATCCTCCCTGAAAATACGTTTTCTTTCTTCTCTGCAAAACTAGAGCGGGAAGAAAAACATTGTTTTCCAGCCTGGTGTTCAGTAACCCTTAAAACTGTATTTATGTGTGGATTATAACTTTAACGCACCCTTGATTTTACCTTGTCTCCTGCAATGCTGTACTGAGTGATGCACTGGTTCCACCCCACAGCCAGTAAATGGTTGTCATGGAGGCAGGTCAACCCAGTGACTTCAGAGTTGGTGACGGGCTCCAGCTTGTGTAAGTTTAGGCCATTTAGTAGATTCCACACCTGCTTGGGGAGTGGCCAACACTCTGATTTAAGTATTTTATACATTGATGCATTACAGCCAATTTTCTTTCTCTATATAATAATAAGTAATAAGATGTATTGAACCTTAATAGTGCCATTACGAGCTCCCGTGATTAGTCTTCTGTGAGAGGAGTCCAGTGCCATAGAGGAGAGCACCTCTTCTCCATGAGCATTTAAAATGTAAAGCCGCCTCCTTCCTGTCTCTACATCCCACAGAAAGACTGATGAGTCAGCATGTCCAGTCACCACCTGCCTCAGGGTGGGGTTGTACAAGGCGCAGGAGAGGTATGGACCCTGTTTAAATTCTGTCCTGAATTCCTCATCAGTCAACCAACCACCTCCTCCTCTTCTCTTTTCTGACAGATTGAGCACTGCCAGGTAATCTTTGCAGGCCACCACTAAATGAGGTTGCATCTCATCAGGAAGAGGAGGGCTAAGCAACAGGAAGGGGAAATTTCCATGTTCTGGGATGCGACCTGGTTGCAGACAGGGAAACTGCAGACGGAGAACTTTCAAACACTGATGGGTAGAAATGTCCCAAACTCTCAGTTCCTGGCAAAAGAAGACAAATGCATCATCATTAATTCGAACATAAACAAGCTCTACTAGCATATATTCACATAAAATATACAATTATGTATGCATTTATGGTAAATCCTAATTCACTCACAGCATCTCTAGAGTAGCTGAAGATCTGCCCGACATGTTGGTAAATTGCAACATCTAGTACCGTGGTGTGGTGACCCGGCAGTGTGGCCACAGGACTTGAAGTCACATATTGTGACCACAGTCTGACTTTTCGGTCAGAGCCTCCTGTAACCATCAACTGTAGGGACGCGTTGTAGTCGAAACACTTGGCTCCCTGACATGAGGCAAAAGCATTAATATCGTATAGTATACAGAAGATGGTGTTTTATGCAGGTGAAAATATAAATGAAGTGGTGGTAAATGCTTCTTTCCTTTCAAAGATACATGACTGCGATTTTTGTTTTACAATGTTCAGACAGTTATTTGGAGAGTAAACCTTGGGTTTCAAAAAAACAAACAAAAAAAAACCAAACCCATTGTGAGTGACAGGAAGCATCAGTTTTACTCCTTTCATAGCAGCCGGTGACACTGTCTGTTTCTGCATACTGCTGTGTTTGCTCTTCTAGATAAAACTGGCCAGTTATAACACTGTAACACTGTCACACTAGGACATTTAATACTATATAAAACTCTTTCTCTCTTAAACAGAGTTTATTTTCACATGTCAACCTGCCCTCGTAGGTCTGTGTCACCCAGTCCCCAGTGCTGTGACACACAGGTCTGACTGACATTGATCCAGATCAGAAGTGGATAACTATGAAAATCTGCCTATTTCCTCTACTTTTCTTTTTCAAAAAATTTGACAGGCAGCTACAGAGATATTTCTCTCATCTGGATATTTTAACATCTTCAATAAATAATAGCCACAACATGAGAAGTTGATTTGAAGTTGCTGAAATTGTATACAGAGAAATGCCAGCCTTTGGGGACATTTCCTTCTTTCATGTCTAGCGTAAGTAGGACAATAATGCAAATATGTAAACTGCAAATTGCAACTTTGCTGTTCTTACTGTTGCTGTGAATGGAGACATGCAATACAATTTACTACTTGTTCTTTGTTCCAAGTTGCACAGTGAAAATTAAACAAAAATGTCACAAACAGGAAAAAGAAGCAATTCACCTTCAAAGTAAAAGTGTGCCTTTTGTTCATACTGGTAATTTTAAAAAAAACTTATAAAATATGAAATAAAGATAAAAGTTTCCCAATCACATGTTCTGTATTTTTATACCGGACCAAAGTGAAACTACATTAAGCTAACATTTTATATATGCAGACCTTTAATCACAGTTCACTTTTGCTACATCGAGCCAAACTGTATTTTGTGTGAACAATAGCCCACAACAGGCAGTGATGTTACCAGATCTTATAAATAAAACAATTCAACTAAAATGTAGAAGGCGAAGGGGAGGATAAGAACACATTTGATTTAATTTCTTCAGGTATAATAAATGTAGCCGTTGAGGCCTGTTATTCAAAATAAAACAGGTAATGTTAATGAGCTTATCTCCTGACATCAACGGAGTTGACCCTGGCTTGGCTCACTCTAGCATGTAGAGGCCACATTAAAATGAAAGCTATAGCAACTGTTTTCACTGCAGATGACATATTACATGTTCAGTACTACAATAATTATGAAATATTATAAATAAATAATGCTCACAAAAGTGGTCCAACCTGGTGCTGGAAAAATGTATTTTTGAAGTGGCCAATGAGTGTATTATCAGTCAAACTGACCTCGTTACCTTGTTAATTACCTGGTTAAATTTCCAAATGTAAGGCTCCTGCTTCAATGACACATTCATAAAGACCACAGATGTGGTGTTACTTTCTGACGATGTCATGATGACATTGGCACTGGGTTCAAACATTACTCTGGTAATTGGTTCCTGGTGGATGCTGGGGATGTGTTGATAGGACACCATGTCGCTGTGTTCACCAAGATCCTGTGAGGAACGAGGGTGAAACAAGAAAAAACAGTCCAAATGATGTTTAAGGAAAAGTTGTAGTGTAAGCAGCAACACTTCAAAGCTTCTTGCTTCCATGCTTCTGTAACAGAATTCAGTAAATAGAGGAGGGAAAACCTACTTGGAAAAAGATCCTTTGTGGAAGTTTGTCTCTCTTTGATGGTTTCTTAAAAAGTCCCTTGGATGAGTTCAGGAACCACATCAGGTGGACTCCTCCTTTTTCATCCCCCAGTAGCAGCAGAGGAGGCTGTTCTAGACTCTTGGAGTGAAAACCCTTTAGATTGAAGTGATGCATTTAGTGCTTTCCAAATGGAGACATCCAGCTAAAACAGTAACATCTCACACAAACAGTTGTCCTACCTGCACATCATACCAGTAACACAGACAGGTCGGCACACTGCGAAACCCTGGGAGCAATTATAGGACAAAGAGTTAACAATATTTCCAGGCTTCACGTGGTTTAGTTGGTTTTTGTTAGGAATAAAAGTACCATATAAGTGAATTTCCTCCAACAAACAGTTTGAAGAAATAGTAACAAAGCGCAAGTCCCTGCAGTCAGTTGCTATGGCAATCTTGTGGACGTTGCCCATGTACACCGCATCGGTGGTCCAACCCCTGAATCTCCTTGTGTTTGCCACTTCCTCTGCTGGGTCTCCAGCAAGCTGGTTTAAATAGAAAAACATGAGTGAGTGTGCTGTAATTCCACGTGGAAATTAAAGTAGCAACATGATGTCACTCACCCCTAAAGTTTTGAGGGTGTGTAGGCTGCTGTTCCAGGCGGTGATCTGACCCCCCTTACTGACGCTAATATAGCGGAGTGGAGGAGGATGGGAAAGAGCAACCACACGAACTGTTGGCTCCCGCTGCAGAGCAATAAGTATGAGACAAGTGTAATCAATTAGAGAAAGGTTACAGGAGGAAAAAAGTAATGGTTGTCGAAAATAACATATAACTCAGGGCAGAAAAATGGAAAAATTAAGATGCTTCATCTTTCATCTATTATAGTAATGGAACACTTTATTCATTATAATTTATAGGAGCAGCTGAGTGCACTCTTTTATACTTACATTGGTTAGATTTAACAGACCCTAATGAACCCTAGAGTTATTAAAAAGGTTTGGCAAACTGCCCTGCTTAACTCCTGCATGGTGAAATCCAAAAGTAGCGAATGATACTATAATAATATTTGAGAATATCTTCACAGGCCACACTGCAGGTCTTAATGCTCAGTTCCCATTTTTTATCAAATCTGATTTTTTTGTCTCCTTGTTCACACTACAAATAAAATGTGACAGCAAACGCGCTCTAGTGTGAACCCACAAAGCGGCCCGCATGCGCAAAAGAAGACGTCACACACAACGTGCTCTGTTTAGAGCCAGACCAAACAGTATTGTTTGACTGATGGGCCTTAATATAAAGACTTTTCAAGCTTTAAATAGACAAAAAAAGGCTTTGTAGTGTGCTGCAGTGTTGATTTTTTTTATTTATATGCGTGATAATCTTTATATTGAAAGTAGTAATTTAATTCATCAAATAAATTTTGCTTAAACTAGTTAAACTAGCTTAAAGTAAGTAAAAGTGACTTGCTGTATTGGATTTTCTTGTAAAGAAGCTTGTATATTCATCTCCTACAAATACACAGCATGCTAAAATATTTTGATACATTTTCTACTTTATTTACATGAAAGTATAAACAACCTATTAGAAAGCATCAAACGTTTAGGAAATAAATATAGCATTAACATTAGAAAAAGTAGCCTATATTAATAATAGTAGCATATTTGGTATCATATCTATTAATGTATATGTGTATGCCGCTTTTAAATTACATTTTCAAAAATAAATCTTCAAAAAAAAATCTTACTTCTAATTAATTGAAAAATGTTTTCAAAAGAGACTTTTATTGAGTGCTTATTGTTTATTGATTTCCATAAATCAATTTCCCATTTGAATTATTTATTGATCGTATAAATATTTTTGTACAATTTTTTTTCTTTTCTTTTAAAATATCTGATAGTGATAGATAATTTGAATGTCTAAATATACAACAACAATTTACAATTTCAGTAAGTTGTCATTGATTTTAATATATTTATACTGTACAAATCATTTATTAATGGTTAATTCCATTTCCTCTGTATTTCTTTTTACTGGGTAGTAAAATATAAATGAATATATATAAATATAATATACCATTAAACTCTTAAAAAGTGATTACATATTGTTTTAAGTTTTATGTCCTTTTCCAAATACTAACTTGGAGTCACTGACCATTTACTCTCTATAACTGTTTCTCCTTTAGAGATACAAAATACTCTAATCCATTTGAGTTTCTTTTCCCCAAGTTTGTTTAAGTCATGTTATAATGTTGTTCATTTTAGTATTTGGATAGCAATTTTGCTTTGAGACTGTTTTGTTTTTTTTCTGCTGCACTCAGCTTTTGGGAGGTTTTTGAAACTTGAATTCTCTAAATGTTAATTTTGACTAGGTAGTTGCCTAATTCTGGTAAGTAATTTAAAAAAAACTGTCTAAAAATCAGACCATCTGACCACAATGCACCAGAGTTACCTTGTTATGAGAGCAGTGTCTAATCTGAGGCTGGGCCTCCAGCAGAGCAGCTGTTGGATTGGAGGCCCGCTGTCGCTCAGTGTACTCCAAAAGCAAGTAGGAACACAGCTGCTGCCATTTTATTTGTCCAGTGCAGCTGATATCTACCTAGACATGAAGAATGTAAGAGTCAAGTCAGCAATACGCCACTGTTGTCTTTTAATAGGACAGTCACTTCAAACCAGTAATAGACTGACAGGATGCTGTTTTATAAACTTTTTTTTAAATCGTGGATTACAATATAACCCGCATCCAGTTTTGTCAAGACTTATAAAAAAACTTTATTACTTTTTACCTCATCAAAGAATCTCTTGCACCACGTGTCCTCAATATTTGGGCCGATGACAGACTTCAGAACATCCCAAAACTCCTCAAACGTCAATCCACGTTCTTCACTTGTACCTCTATTGCTTCCCTTCAGCTTGTGTTCCTGTGTCTCAAGTCCAGCCTTTGAACAGGTAAAAGCATTTCTCAGAAGCTGTAGGTGCTCTGGGCTCAGTTTCTCTGCAGGACTGACACCACAGGCCGGATCACTGCAGAAAGCAGCACATCAATGATCAAGTGAAACGAAAAAGCAGAAGTAGAATAAAATGTGGAGGACATTGCCAATAAGGCAGCACCCCAGCTTAACTGAGCATAAAAACATGATCATTTCTTAAGCATTAAAGAACTGTTAAGTTCAGTGTCTAACCCCTATTTTATTTTTTATTTCTGATTCTTTATTGAAGCCATTACATCACTGACAGCTAGTAAAAAGCTCACTGCAGAATGAGTGCAGCACTCCCATGTGGTAGTTTTGATATAACACACTTTTTTTTCAAATAAAGGGAATAAGTAATGAAAGAATATGTAAAGTTAGGGGGATGTGTTTTTAAGAAAAGCGCTCGCTGCCACCAGCACCTCCGGTGTGGGCCTGTTGCTAAGGGAAACTAACAATAAGTCACATGTCTTACCATTGTGAGGTCTTTTCCTGGTCCATTGGGGCATGCATGAGTGGTCCTTTACATCATACACATTACTTACAATCAGCAAATGGAACAATAAAATAATTAAGTAATAAAGAAGCTGTTCTCTCTGAGTTTAAACTGTGTGGAGTGGATGGAAGAGAAATGAATGGAGAAATGTGTGAATTTAAGGAGTTATTTGAAAGTTTGATACCAGTGTTCAGCTTCTATTGACTTTTCATGAATTGTTTAAGGTGGAAAAATGGAATGAAGTACAAATAATGAAAGTTAAAATGTTGTTGTTGTTTTTTTTTAGCTTATTAGAAAATATAGGACAGAATCAGATATAAGAATGTGTTAGCAGGCACTACTATCCAGAGGTGACGAAAATCCATATCAATGTGCAAAGTTTATAAAACAGATTTTCTACATAAAGCAATCCCTAATTAAAAATAATCTTTTATGTTTGCCAAGACCAAACAAGGGGAAAAAAACTTACCAAAACCTGCTGTGTGGCACCTCTTTCTCATAAAGTGTCCACAAATTTTTTTTGTTTCTAAAAGTATCCATAGTGATAGCCCGATTCTACCTTTATCACAGTCTGAACTCCTCCTTAAACTCTTCTTTTATGGTGAGCATGAAAAAAGAAATGAAGAAAGAAGCCAAGACTTCTGTATAAATGAGTTGAGTCGACTCCGCGATCCTGGCTGTGCCTTGAGCCTAACCATGCACAGCCGTTGTTTCTGTCCACTCCTCTCGCTTTTCATGCAGTCCTCAAACAAAGCCTGTTGTCTTCAGACAGGGAAGGAATGTCCACATCCACAGAAGCTATCGGTCGCAAATGTTTGACCACACCGACAAAAGATAGTCAACACATCTCTGAAGAGACTGCCAAGGAGACCTGAGAATTTCCAAAGTCTATTTGGGGCAACAGAGCCACAAACCCCACAGAGGTGCCCTCTGTGGGTTAATCATTTAAAGAAGCAAAGTTATTCACCACCAAGAAAAGGCTGAGCTTTATCAAGAATCGATGTATATGGGATATAGTTTCTACTATAAGTAGGACTGTCCAGAAATCCTAGATATTAAATCAGGAACATCTATATTCAAAATTAAGAGAGGGTAAAAGCGAAAAGTCATGATATGGTGGCATATTTTCAGCTATTCTTACCGTTCTTCAACTGATGTAGTTTAATCATTGCTAGGCAACCAGCAGCAGTTTGCTTCCTTATAATAAGCTATCAAAAGTGCTGTCTTACTATGTTTAATGAATATACTCAAGTCCCAGTGTT